TCTATTATTTATATTTCTAGATATGAAGCCAAGAATTCTGTTAGCTGGTTCCAAAGTGACCTAAGTGTAAGTTCAGTTGTTCATATGTTGGGGACTTACTGTACAGTTAGAATAGGCTGTTTTGGTGGTATATGTATGTCTTACGAGCCAATGTGTTTGACGTATACATGTATATACTCAAAAATTCTAGCAGCTTCAAATCAAGCGGGAGAAAGCTGATAGGCCCACATGTGAGAGAATGGGTCTGTGTGGTCAGTGTGTGCAGTATAAAAAAAATCCTGCAGCAAGCAGTGCATAATGAGACAAAAAACTCCAACCGTGTTTCTGGATTAATCGTCGACTTTGAGGTGTATTTTCATATAGTTTTTATGGTTTTATTCTTCTCATTTTCATAGTCACATTTGATAGCATGGAAAACATATAAAAATGGAGGTGATTTTGATTGGTTTTACTATGAAAAGGACCTTGAAATGGAGCTCAAAGTAGGGGAAATGTTTGGTTTTTGCCGGTGTTCAAGAGTAAACAAATGACGTCATTGTCCAATAAATGTCCAACTAGCCATTCTAATATGCAGTCATGAATGGGTTGACATTATTTATACAATTATTACAATATTGCAGTAGTCTGCATAACAGTAAATCTATTTTTTGTTTGAATAAAAATTCAAAATAGAAAGCAAGAGTAATATCAGAGGGGCCTGGAGACATGACTGGTGAACAAAGAAAATGTTATTTTACAGCCAGGAATGTCTGCATTGTTCATTCTGGACCCTATTTTGAAATTGGCATATTTTTTAATTTGCATGAAATTGGCCAAATTGCCATTTTCTGACCACTTTATTGGGTAGTTGAAATTGGTAAATGGGAAGTTTCTTGTACTCATTTGATAGAACAAATGGAGTTCTAAAGAAATAGCTATGAGCTTGGTTGACTGGAACAATGGAATTAGCTGAAAATAGGGCTCAAAGTGGGCGAAATTGCTGAGGTCGCTAACTTTGCGAGAGCGTAATTCCATAAGTTTTCCATCAAATTTCATACTTTTGGCGTCATTACCATCGGGAAAAGATTCTCTATCATTTCATAGGATTTTTTTTTTTTTTTCCAAATATTCTGCAACACCAGGAGAACCCTAAGGATTTGGGGTTGTGACAGTCAAAGGGTTAAATAATATAGTCCTCCATCCTATAAATTCCGTAAAGCTAGAAACTAAAAACTAGCAAAATTAAGTTAGCACAAAAAATTTTCAGATCTGGGTTCATTTTGTGTCAGAGATCATATCTCTAATACAAGGTACTGTATAGCATTCTACTCTTGTGACTATTGACATTCATAAGATATGATGGTGAGAGTTAAAAGATTTAGACATGGGGAAAAACCACTGAGCCAGGAAATCAGTGGATAATTTAATCTATTCATTGTTGCTGATCAGTAAAAATGTTGAATAATTGAAACCCATAAATACGGTGTGTAAAGGTATAAAGTTGAAAGTGAACATAGATAAGAGTAAGGTGATGAGGGTATCAAACGATTTAGATAAAGAAAAATTGGATATCACATTGGAGGGAGGGAGTATGGAAGAAGTGAATGTTTTCAGATATTTGGGAATTGGCTTGTCAGCAGATAGGTTTATGAAGGAGGAGGTTAACCATAAAATTGATGAAGGAAGGAAGGTGAGTGGTGCATTGAGGTATCTGCGGAGACAAAGAACTTTATCCATGGAGGCAAAGAAGGGAATGCATGAGAGTATAGTGATTTTTTTTTTTAACAAGTTGGCCGTCTCCCACCGAGGCAGGGTGACCCAAAAAGAAAGAAAATCCCCAAAAAGAAAATACTTTCATCATCATTCAACACTTTCACCTCACTCATACATAATCACTGTTTTTGCAGAGGTGCCCAGACCACAACAGTTTAGAAGCATATATGTACAAAGATATACAACATATCCCTCCAAATTACCAATATCCCAAACCCCTCCTTTAAAGCAGGCATTGTACTTCCCATTTCCAGTACTCAAGAATGGCTATATAAAAATAACCTGCTTCCCTGAATCCCTTCACTAAATATTACCCTGCTCACACTGCAACAGCTCGTCAGGTCCCAAATACCATTCGTCTCCATTCACTTCTGTCTATCACGCTCATGCATGCTTGCTGGAAGTCCAAGCCCCTTGCCCATAAAACCTCCTTTACCCCTTCCCTCCAACCTTTTCGAGGATGACCCCTACCCTGCCTTCCTTCCCCTACAGATTTATACACTCTGCATGTCATTCTACTTTGATCCATTCTCTCTAAATAACCAAACCACCTCAACACCCCTTCTTCAGCCCTCTGACTAATACTTTTATTAACTCCACACCTTCTCCTAATTTCCACGCTCCAAATTCTCTGAATAATATTTACACCACACATTGCCCTTAGACAGGACATCTCCACCGCTTCCAACTGCCTCCTCGCTGCAGCATTTACAACCCAAGCTTCATACCTACATAAGAGTGTTGGTACCACTATACTTTCATACATTCCTTTCTTTGCCTCCATAGATAATGTTTTCTGTCTCCACATATACCTCAATTTAGGTAGTAGGTTGATAAACAGCAACCGCCCAGGGAGGTACTACCGTCCTGCCAAGTGAGTGTAAAACGAAAGCCTGTAATTGTTTTACATGATAGTAGGATTGTTGGTGTCCTTTTTTCTGTCTCATAAACATGCAAGATTTCAGGTATGTTTTGCTACTTCTACTTACACTTAGGTCACACTGTGCATACATATACATGTACAAGCATATATATACACACCCCTCTGGGCTTTCTACTGTTTTCTTTCTAGTTCTTGTTCTTGTTTATTTCCTCTTATCTCCATGGGGAAGTGGAACAGAATTCTTCCTCCATAAGCCATGCGTGTTGTAAGAGGCGACTAAAATGCCGGGGGCAAGGGGCTAGTAACCCTGTCTTTTGTATAAATTACTAAATTTAAAAAGAGAAACTTTAGTTTTTCTTTTTGGGCCACCCTGCCTTGGTGGGATATGGCCAGTTTGTTAAAAAAAAAAAAAACACGTCAATGCACCACTCACCTTTTTTCCTTCATCAGTTCTATGGTTAACCTCATCCTTCATAAATCCATCCGCTGACATGGCAACTCCCAAATATCTGAAAACATTCACTTCAAACAAAAAAAAATTCAAGACTTCGCCAGGAGTCGAACCCGAGCATAGTGATACCAACACTTATATGGGTGTGAAGCATGGGTTGTAAATGCTGCAGTGAAGAGGCAGCTGGAGGAAGTGGAGATGTTGTGTCTAAGGGAACTGAGTGGTGTAAATAATATGCAGAGAATTCATAGTGTGGAAATTAGGTGTGGAGTTACAAAAGTATTAGTTAGAGGGCTGAAGAGGGGTTGTTGAGGTGGTTTGGTCATTTAGAGAGAATGGAACAAAGAATTACTTGGAGAGTGTATAAATCTGTAGGGGAAGGAAGGCAAGGTAGGGGTCATCCATGAAAAGGTTGGAGGGAGGGGGTAAAGGAGGTTTTGGGGGGCAAGGGGCTTGGACTTCCAGCAAGCGTGTGTGGGCGTGTTAGATAGGAGTGAATGGAGACAGATGGTTTTTGGGACCTGACGAGCTGTTGGAGTGTGAGCAGGGTAATATTTTGTGAAGAGATTCAGGGAAACTGGTTAGCTGGGCTTGAGTTCTGAAAATGGGAAGTACAATGCCTGCACTTTCAAGGAGGGGTTTCGGATATTGGCAATTTGGAGGGACGTGTAAACTGTCGTATCTGAACACTTCAGCAGAGACAGTGATTATATGTCATAGTGATGGTGAAAATGTTGAATGATGATGAAAGTTTTTTCTTTTTTTCTTGGGTTTTTCTTTCTTTTTGGGTCACCCAGCCTTGGTGGGAAATGGCCATGTTAAAAAAAAAAAATACCGTAGCCCACAGATTTGGAGAGATGGCTATAAAGTTATAGCAAGATTGTATGTGGACTGAGTAGTGATGCAGATTGCTCTTTCCCTTTCTTCCCTCTTGATAATTCACCTTTCTCACACAGTACATTATGATTTAATTGTTTTATAATAAGCCACACAGTACAATATGATTTAATAAATTAGACACATGTGCAACTCTTGGTCCTCAATAAAGATACCCAAGAGTTGCACATGTGTCTAATTTATCAACATGTCGATTCTCTGAACCATTCAACTACACAATATGATTTAATTTTTATAATAAGCCTTATATTAGCAAATGATTGTGGGTTGTGCATGTGTAGTATGATATGTGCTGCCAGCACCAGCAAGCAGCCTGGGCACATTCAGTATGACATAATTATGCTGCCAGCACTGACAAACAGCCTTTGCATGAGAGACTGTTTGAAAACCATTTGGAGGCATATAACATGTTCTCTCAGAAGCCTCTCTCACCTTCCATCATGAAAAGAAAAGAAGGTTAAGGCAATGATTTGGTTCATCCTGAACTGTTGTCAGGCTAGAACTGAGCAAGAAAAAGCAGAGAAGACCAGAAGACAGGCTGGGAAGAGGAAAGGTGTTACCACCCCTTTATGTAATGGAGCTGGGACAGATACTCACTCTAGGTAATGAGGTGGTGCTCTCTCACCCCTCTAGATATTGGGGTGGTGGTAGCACTCACTCTTGAAAAAAAATGGGAACACATTTTTGAATATCTGATAAATGTTATGTGATTTGTAAGGAATGAATGTTGATATTAGAGTTCACCTTATTGCTAATCCAGTTTTGCTAAATATTAGTAATGTTGAGGACTTCGTCATCTTACAGGCTGGTAATATGGGTCTCTCTTTTTGCTAGTGAAGGGGTCTTAATGATCTGGGCAATTGAAGCTACCCTTCCTGATCAAACTGATTATCTCCCATTCCCCAGGTGCTTGTGGCCCATACAGGTTTTGTGATGTCTCATGGATTTTGTAATTGCAATAAATAATAATAATAATAATAATACATCTGATTAAATTCCATTTTGTTTGTTCTGCAGCACTTTTCATCCTTGGCGGAGCATTTTCCTTATCGTTCGGTGCTGTTGATGCTGCAGCCAAACTGCATGTGGATATTCTTCACAGTGTCATGCATTTGCCAATGCACTTCTTTGATACCAATCCTATTGGGCGTTTGATTAATAGATTTGGCAAGGATGTTGACACTTTGGATAATGTTTTACCTTGGAGTCTTCGCTCATGGTTATTATGCTTCTTCACGGTACGTGGCTCAGGTTCTTCTGTGACTGCATGTTTTCCGAAATGTAGACTGTTAATTTTTGTTCTTTTCCCCTTTAATACCTTACTAGAGGTCACCATAAATGTTAAAACCATGAACACACAAAAGAATGTAGCACAGTAATGCACTTCTTTCAGTATTTTTCATTTTGAGGGGGAAGTCTGGAGGATGATTTCTCTAAGAGATCATCATGGGGTAGAGTGCTAGAAGTGGTGGAGCCTAAGGTGGTAACTGGTGATGACTTGTGGTACCTGAGGTGATAACTGGTGGTGCCCTAGGTGGTGGTTTATGCTGTTGCCTGAGGTGGTGACTTTAGAAAATGATATGAAGGGCATGTACTTTGCTGAAGGCATTGGTAAAGTTCTTTGGAGGGTAGATATTTCACCCTCATTTCTCTGTCTTGAACTTAATCTGCATCATTGAATTTATTTTAATATTATTGATCCAGAAATGTCCCATTATCAACCTGATTTTGGACAAAATTTTCAGATTCATTCTGCTACCTATTGTAACTTGTCATGGTCTTCATCCACCTTGATTGATTACCTTCTCTTCATCTTCATTCATCCATTGATTCTTGAACATCTTCCCTTTCCCACTTGTATCCTCAGAATCTTCCCTCCAAGCTATTATGCCAGTCTCACAGTCGTCTTTACCCTGACATTAACAACACTGGGGAAACTGCTTAATTTGTTCACTGCATCTTCCTGCATATTTTTATAGTAGGCTCTTTCATGTCATCACTTTACTCCTTGATATTGGTGCTACAATCTGCAGTTATGTTGTCTGTGTGATATTTACTTTGTTGAAATATTATCACTTATACACATTGTAATAGAAAGTGTATCTCCTGTAGCAATTTTGAAAGGCAGCTGTCATACCTTGTTTTGAGAACTTGGACCATATTTTGTTTTTTTAGTGATATGTTCTCTACCGTGATGTTGAATGCTGATGGCAAGGTCATATTGGTGGGCAGGAGTGTTGTCTATGAGGTCATCTTGAAAGTAGTTGTGAATCAAGTCTTTTATGTCATCCAATATATTGGCAACAGTGTTATTTTTTTTTAACCCTCCAAGGACATGCAAGTTGAAGGAACAGTTGAATAGTCAATTTCATCATATAGCTCCCTGAGACATTTACACAAAGAGAAATGATTATCTTTTCCTTGGCTGCCGTGATGCTACAAAAACTCTAAATTTTTGAAGAGGAATGTTCTACAAGGCATCCTCTTCCAGAAGAGAGTAAATTCAGTAGCAATGAGTACATTTTCTGGCTTGTATTTTCCCTTCTCTTCATTGAATCAAACCTGAGTAACTCCTGTTCCTCCTTATGATTATGGATGCTTCCCTATGAATATTATAATAAAAATAATAATAATTTACAGTGCATTGGGACTGGTATTTGCAGGTTTAGCATTTTCAAAACTTTACTCTTCCCAGCATTTGTTTAAGAATGTGTCAGGTATAAACTTTGGTATTTGTCAAAATGTAGACATGTGAAGGGAAGGCATTTAGATTTCATATATACAATGTTAATACAGTACAAGTGTATTTCATTAGCTTTAATGAGATAGGAACAATTTATTACAGTACAATTTATTACAAGTTAGAGTATGTAGGAAAGAGGGAAAGTTATTTCCCAGTAAAAGTAGGCCTTAAACAAGGATGTGTGATGTCACCGTGGTTGTTTAATATATTTATAGATGGGGTTGTAAGAGAAGTAAATGCGAGGGTCTTGGCAAGAGGCGTGGAGTTAAAAGATAAAGAATCACACATAAAGTGGGAGTTGTCATAGTTTGCTGATGACACTGTGCTCTTTGGAGATTCTGAAGAGAAGTTGCAGAGATTGGTGGATGAATTTGGTAGGGTATGCAAAAGAAGAAAATTAAAAATGAATACAGGAAAGAGTAAGGTTATGAGGATAACAAAAAGATTAGGTGATGAAAGATTGGATATCAGATTGGAGGGAGACGGTATGGAGGAGGTGAATGTATTCAGATATTTGGGAGTGGACGTGTCAGCGGATGGGTCTATGAAAGATGAGGTGAATCATAGAATTGATGAGAGGAAAAGGGTGAGTGGTGCACTTAGGAGTCTGTGGAGACAAAGAACTTTGTCCTTGGAGACAAAGAGGGGAATGTATGAGAGTATAGTTTTACCAACGCTCTTATATGGGTGTGAAGCATGGGTGATGAATGTTGCAGCGAGGAGAAGGCTGGAGGCAGTGGAGATGTCATGTCTGAGGGCAATGTGTGGTGTGAATATAATGCAGAGAATTCGTAGTTTGGAAATTAGGAGGAGGTGCGTGATTACCAAAACTGTTGTCCAGAGGGCTGAAGAAGGGTTGTTGAGGTGGTTCGGACATGTAGAGAGAATGGAGCGAAACAGAGTGACTTCAAGAGTGTATCAGTCTGTAGTGGAAGGAAGGCGGGGTAGGGATTGGCCTAGGAAAGGTTGGAGGGAGGGGGTAAAGGAGGTTTTGTGTGCGAGGGGCTTGGACTTCCAGCGGGCATGCGTGAGCGTGTTTGATAGGAGTGAATGGAGACAAATGGTTTTTAATACTTGACGTGCTGTTGGAGTGTGAGCAAAGTAACATTTATGAAGGGGTTCAGGGAAACCGGCAGGCCGGACTTGAGTCCTGGAGATGGGAAGTACAGTGCCTGCACTCTGAAGGAGGGGTGTTAATGTTGCAGTTTAAAAACTGTAGTGTAAAGCACCCTTCTGGCACGACAGTGATGGAGTGAATGATGGTGAAAGTTTTTCTTTGTTGGGCCACCCTGCCTTGGTGGGAATCGGCCAGTGTGATAATAAAAAAAAAAAATTGTATTATACTTTTAACAAGACACTTGTGCAATGCTGGAACATTTTATTGGGAAACTTTTACTCCTGGACGCTTTGTCACTAATACAGGGCATGAGAACTTAACACAGTTGTGTGTTGTGGTGTGGTGTGTGTGGGTGGTGTGTTGTGGTGTGTGTGTGTGTGTGTGTGTGTGGTGTGTGTGCATGCATATACATGTGTGTGTGCATGCATATACATGTGTGCGTGCTTGCTCTCTGTATATATATATATCTCTATCTCTGTATTTCTCTTTTATGCATAATAAGCTGAATTGTTCATTTAGGCCAACCTGGCCTAAAAATTTACTAATTCCAAATTTTCTTACATGGATTAATAATCTTTTTTTTTTTTCAATGAATATTGTGTAAAAAATTTTTTGGTCCCAAACATAACCTAGAAACCTAATGTAAGTTTTTTAAATCAAATTTTACTAAATATATCATAGATCAGTTTAAATATATTAGTAAAAATCAGTGACATGTTCAGATTATTTTTTTTTTTTTTTTTTTGCAGATTACATCATTTTTTTCACCTTTGCTTTTTTGGTAAAAATGACATGCTTTCTAGGCCAAACTTACCAGTTCATCTTATTCTGCACAACATATATACATATGTATATATGTTGTGCAGAATAAGATGTATGTCACCCTGCCTCGGTGGGAGACGGCCAACTTGTTGAAAAAAAAAATTGTATGTACGTATATATATATGTATGTATGTATATACAACATATATACATACATTCATTTATCCCACCAAAGCAGGGTGACCAAAAAAGAAAAACAAAGTTTCTCTTTTTAAATTTAGTAATTTATACAGGAGAAGGGGTTACTAACCCCTTGCTCCCAGCATTTAGTTGCTTCTTACAACATTCATGTCTTACAGAAGAGGGATTCTTCTCCACTTTCCCATGGAGACTTACATACTGTTTAGGTAAAAGAGGCAGGACACTGATGTTTTGGTGATGGCATTTGACTATGGTGTCTTACTGGGGTAGCATCAGGTAGGCCAGCATGCTTCAGATATTGAAATTACCATATTTTGGACTACAGTGTTAGAAATGATCAGTACAACCTCAAGGCAACATCTTTTTTTGAAGAAGGGGCAACCTGTCTTCTCACCACATAATCAGGTGGTCATGCAAACTGTGGTGAACCATGGATATGTTTTCCATGTCCCAGCTACAGGCATATGTATACTCTGAGGTACTTTTCTAGACTTTTTGTTGTTCCTTCCATGTATATTTTATCTATGACTACAGGAGGAGAGCACAATGCAACATGAGCATGACTGCTTCAGATAGCCCCCAGTAAAAGGTACTATACATTGGCCTCCTACTTGGGAACTTAGCCAATAATGTGATTAATGCCCTGGCAAGTTGTAAGAAGAGTGTGGCCACCAGGTCTTCTACCAGCATCGAAGACTTGATTGACAATGCCACCACTACACCCACTGACGTCAGCCTCTTCTGCCGAAAAGGCATCACCTTGAGGCTCAATTGATCACTGTTTTGAGCACTGTAATCTATAAATCTGGTACAGTGGAACCCTGAGTTTCGAACGCATTGACTGTCAAACGCTTCGAGTTTCGACCGTTTTTTTTTTTTTTTGCTCCAATTTTGTCCCGAGTATCGAACATGCCCCATGTTTCAAACCACGTACCAGACCTGTCTGCTGCCTGCATCCCCCAAGCAGGCATTGCGAGCCAGTCTGGCTTTGTTTATGCTTGAGTGAACACTAACCTGCACACTCATTTAAACATTTCACAAATAATTTATTGTGTTTGGTACTAGTTTATTAAGTGTGACTGTGAAATAAGCTACCATGGTGGTGGTGGTGGATGGTAGTGGTGGATAGTGGTGGATGGTGCCTTCTTCAGAGATTAAGGAGATTTGTGCAATGTGGAATAGGGTGTAGGCATTTGCTGAAAAATATCAGCAAGCTGAAACAAGCCATCTCTGCAACAAGTTCAGTGACAGAACTATGTCACATTTTAAGGAAGTCTTAAAGAAGGGAAGTAACCTCAGGTAAGGACTTGTTACCTAAAGTCTTTATGGAAGGGGATTCCCCTTCCAAACAATAAGTGCTCCCTCACTCCTCCCTATCTTCCAGATGCCATCAACAATCTTCAATAAAGGTAAGT